AAAATCGAAATCATCAATCCCCCCATCCCTGCATTAGGGGATTGCTTTTCCTGTCGCCTGCGATCCTGGCTGTCACGTCTCTCTCTAGCTCTTTCCCTCTCTCCCTCTTTCTCTCGCTCCCTCTCTGTCTCTCTCGCTCCCTCTCTGTCTCTCTCTCTCCCTCTCTCTCTCTTTTTTAATGTCTGTCTCTTCCTTTCTCTTTCTCTGCTCCCCCTCACTACTTTCCCACCGCCACAGTCTTGCAAAGTAAGTAATGTGTTTTCTGTGGAAATTGTTTAAAGTTGTCCTTGTGCATAGAGTTGTATGGTTTGTTAAACTTTGCAATCATTGCTTTTTTGTGTGGCATACATTTAAAAGTGAAAAATCTGAGAATTCAGCATCATAATGTTATCGTGGAATTGCCCCTATCCTTCTGAAATATCCTCGGTCGTGGTAGTGAAAATCCATGCGTTTCATTTGAAATATAGCCTAATCATGATAATATTATATTTTACATATAGCCTAATCATAATAATATTATATTTGACATATAGCCAAATCATAATAATCATTTAAGCAAGGGCACAGTCCTATTGTAGGTCATCATGATTTTTTTTTTTTTATAGTAGTCCCTTTCTAAAGCTTTTGACACATGGCATAATTCACTGAGCTGCGTAGAGGTTTGTCTCTTAGCTTCTGCATTTCACATGCTAGTAATCACTTAGCGTAATGACTCCAGGCTCTGACAGGGAAGATGTATAACTGGCTAACGGTGGCGTGGGGCTGTTGGTAGCAGATCGGTGGGGAGAGAGGTTGTGTCTCCTGTGTTGACGCTACTGTAAACAGGACAGAGATACTAACAGGTACTCCTCATGTCAACACAAAGTCAAAATCAGCCAGACACTGGAATGTTTGTGTTACACTGCCAGGCTTTATGATGTCCTACTACACTGTACTGTACAGTATGTGTCATAGGTTAGTCATTAAACACTCAGTTCCTCAACCTATACATTACATACAGTAGTACACACACCGTTTATATCCAGATAACTATTTCATCTGTCATCTTTTCTTGCACACTGGAAGTGCAACATGTAAGCCTCCTCTTGTTGTCCTTAGCAACAGGACTGAGACTGGATGTTGCACAGAGGCTGTAGCGGTCTAGTTAATAATAATAATAATAATAATAATAATAATAATAATAATAATAATAATAATAATATACACTATGTGTCTGTTCTCTGTTCTGGTGCATGTCTTTTTGGCTGGGTATATTTCCCTCTCACACCTCAGGGGTCAGTAATAATTACACTCAGTAGTTACTGTTGTTCAAACAGTTAAGCAGTGTTTCCCAAACTCTGTTTTTGCCCTAGCACTACAAAGGTGATTCAAATAATCAAAGCTTGATGATTAGTAGATTTGTTTAATCAACTGTGTAGTGCTAGGACAAAAACCAAAACGTTCACCCCTTGGGGTCTCCAGGATCGAGTTTGGGAACCCTGAGTTAAAGGGATCATTTACAGCCAAAAACAAAATCGTAAGGATTTTACATATTACTGTAAGAGGGAGGTTAGGCTGAAAACAGTAGAGAGAGACTATTCACTGGATCCTACTTAGTTTATCTTACTGTATTTAGGAACAAGATAACCAGTAGTATAGATATTCCTGATTAATAACCTCTTAAGGATCGGACCCTTTTTTTCAATTTTCGCCTAAAATGACATACCCAAATCTAACTGCCTGTAGCTCAGGACCTGAAGCAAGGATATGCATATTCTTGATACCATTTGAAAGGAAACACTTTGAAGTTAGTGTAAATGTGAAATTAATGTAGGAGCATATAACACATTAGATCTGGTAAAAGATAATACAAACAAAAAAACATGTGTTTTCTATTATTTTTTGGGTTCCATCATCTTTGAAATGCAAGAGAAAGGCCACAATATAATATTGCAGTTTAGGTGCAGTTTAGTGTGCAAAGTTTCAGATTGATCCGGTGAAGCATTGCAATACTTGACTATTTTGTATAAAGTCTGCCCAAATGTGCCGAATTGGTCAATTGATACATTTTCAAGTACATATAGAGAACATACAAAAATTATATGGTAATACAAAATGTAAGTTTACACACTCCCAGGAATGTCATACATTATGGATCATTAGCTTATACACTAACTTTCACACATCTAGATGGCCGGGCAGGGTGGGTGTGGAGCCAGAGACAGCAGGGGTTCAAACTGTAGATCCAATTCCTACATTTGAATATAAAAACTGATTTTATCAAACAAAACTATGCTACATTTTATCTCTGGGACCCTTAGGTTGACAAATCAGAGCAAGATTACTGAATGTAAGTACATTATTTACCTTCAGAGGTGAATGTATCAAACCAGTTGCCGTGCTAAGTTTTTGTTGTTGTGCACTCTCCTCAAACAATAGCATGGTATTTTTTCACTGTAATAGCTACTGTAAAGTGGACAGTGCAGTTAGATTAACAATCATTTAAGCTTTCTGCCCATATAAGACATGTCTATGTCCTGGAAAGTTTGCTGTTACTTACAACAGTCATGCTAATCACATTAGTGCACGTTAGCGCAACCGTCCCGTATACGGCACACCGATCCCGTAGAGGTTAATACAGTTCCCAAGGTCTCTAAGTCTGTGCTGAAATGGTTATGTATACTGTATACTACATTTTTCTATCCATACAAGAAACTGGAACTTTTCATGACTAGACAAATAATCATTCCATTGATGCTGAGTGGCTTGGGAAGTTCATTAGTGGTGGGGCCAAGACTGAGTTAGTCCCAGTCATTGTTCCTGTCGTTTCAGAGAATAGAGAGGAGGGACATAGATAGTAATGAGGCCAAGCCTTTCCTCACTGAGTCCTTTTGTCTTCCTGCTGTCTGTCTGCCTGCCTGCCTGCCTGCCTGCCTGCTGCCTGTCTGTCTGTCAGCCTCCTGCCTGCCTGCCTGCCTGCCTGCTGCCTGTCTGTCTGCCTCCTGCCTGCCTGCCTGCCTGCCTGCCTGCCTACCTACCTGCCTGCCTGCTGCCTGCCTGCCCGCCTGCCTGCCTGCCTGCCTGCCTGCTGCCTGTCTGTCTGTCTCCTGCCTGCCTGCCTGCCTGCCTGCCTGCCTGCCTGCCTGCCTGCCTGCCTGCTGCCTGCCTGCTGCCTGTCTGTCTGCCTCCTGCCTGCCTACCTGCCTGCCTGCCTGCTGCTTGCCTGCCTGCTGCCTACCTGTCTGCCTACTTGTCTGCCTTCTTGTCTCGCTGCTTGCCTCCCTGCTTGTCTCCCTTCTTGTCTGCCTGCTTGTCTGCCTGCTGCCTGCCTGCTGCCTGTCTATCTGCCTGCTGCCTGCCTGTCTGTCTTCTGCCCGTCTGCCTGTCCATCTGCCTGCTGCCTGCCTGTCTGCCTGTCTGCCTGAAGAATCCATTATGTAATCTAAGTCCAGTGGTTCACTCTGCAAATGAGAGCTCAACTGACATTAGGGTTTGCATTTAAAAAGGAACCTGGAACTCCCATTTTGAAGAAGGTGTTATGGTTTTTAAGCTGACAATGATGACGAAGCATTTTTAGCCTTTCTAAAAAAGAATGAACACAGATATTTGACAGCTTTGAAAAGAGAAAGGTTTGTGTCCTTAACTTGATATTTAGAGCATCCTTCCTGTATATTTTTAGCAGAACTTAGACTGGGAGGGGTTTAAGTGAAAAACATTGGTTTGGATCACATTTGTGGAGCTGTTTTCATTTTCATTTTAGTCATTTAGCAGACGCTCTTATCCAGAGCGACTTACAGTTAGTGAGTGCATACATTATTTTTCATACTGGAATGGGAATCGAACCCACAACCCTGGCGTCAGAATCGAACCCATGCTCTACATCCCTGCCGGCCATTCCCTCCCCTACCCTGGGCCAATTGTGCGCCGCCCCAAGGGTCTCCCGGTCGCGGCCGGCTACGACAGAGCCTGGATTCGAACCAGGATCTCTAGTGGCACAGCTAGCACTGCGATGCAGTGCCTTGGACCACTGTGCCACTCTGTTTTATAAGTATTTATTGATTATTGTTACAGAATCACATATCCCAAGTATTGCGCTTTTCCTCTATCAGCACACCTGCATTAGTCACCCCATCAGATACCCCCAGTGTGGGGAATACTACCAGAGAGAAAACAACTCCTCCACGCCCTCTACAGCAGAGACGTTAATTTGATTAGAACACATTGTGCCACAGACATATATACCACCAAGGGACTTTGTATGTCAACAACGATGACTCAAACTCCCAGCAAACTTTATTTTCCCTCCATAGCCCCAGTGTCTGTGATGCATACAGATCAGCGGAGAAGTATGATCCCAGTACATTTGCAAATTAGGTGATTCATCATAGGGTATTGTATGGCTATTTTGTAGCGAGATGGCCTTAGTATCAAACCATTACTGCTGTAATTCATTGTCTCTGTCATCTAGAAGGGCCACTGAGAAAAGAGAAGAGAAGAGCCACTGAATCTTACAGACGGAAGTAAATACAGTGCTCAGATGTAAAAAAAAAAAAACAGCTTTGGTTCTGGATGACAACTTTGAGCTCTTACCAAGCTGTGTGTGCGTGCCTGCCTCCCTGGCAATGTGTGTGTGTGTGTGTGTCGTGACTGTGGTACTCACAGATGAGTTAGGACTTCCGTCAGCCATCTGCCAGGTGTGTGATGGCCCTGTCATCTCTGTCTCTGTAAAGAGAGGAACACAATGACCCCTGTCTCTGTTGTCTTCTGTCAACTCACTTCCACTGTAATTATACTGAGGCTCTGTGTGCGTGTTTATGTGTGTGAGTGTTTGTGTGTATGTGTGTGTGTGTGAGCTCCCTGCCGTTGTAATGATCCTGGGGCTCTTTTGTACAAAACGACTCTCAGAGAGAGAGAACTCCAGTTCACTAATCATTAATCGAGAGACCGGCTCTGGTTAGCTAGCATATCATAGCCGTTAACATTTTGACATTAGCTAACCTTTTAACCGAAAATGTGGCCAGATGGTTGATATTGAGAAGGGTGCTAACTTTAAAGGTGCGGGCCGGAAGGATAAAATGAATTGACCAGATGTAGTAGAAAGTAATCTCCTCTGAATAGCCCACACATTTGTTGTGAGTTTTTTTTTTTCAGACCATTATGTGTAACGACATTGTAAAGGGGATTTTCAGGGAGACACCTCCCGCACAGAAGCAGAGAAAATGTCTAGTTTGAGTTTATTTATTCTTGCTCACAGATAAAACTGAAGAAATGCAGAATTTACATTACTAATAATTGCAAAACACTCATTTAAAATCCATAACACATAATATGTGACATAAATAGAGTACAGAACACTTCAAACATTACAGGACATTTTTCATGATGTAAATTGAAATGTTAAAATGTGATTGCAAGAAATAGAATTTTTGGGAAAACCATTTAAGAGCTCGAGTTATTATACAGTCTGACAGCAGTGGGTAGAGTGGCGTTTCGCAGGTGGTTCGTACGGGCAGTTATGCAGGACAGTTACCTCTTTTTGGAGGGAGCAGGTCATTCAATGGATGTTCAAGAGTGTGCATGTCCTTCACCAGGTGCACTGCAGCCTGCTCTTCCCTGCTCTGCAGTGACGGGAGCTGTGGTTGGACTGCGCCACCTCTGGAGATGATCCTCAAGGCCCTCCTCTGCACCCTGTCTAGTTGGGCCTGCTGCTTTTTATTGGATCCAACTAACAGCACTCCACCGTATTCCAGACAAGGCCTGACCAGTGTAGTGTTTACTGTGACCAGATCTTCAGTGGGTAGGCCATTTCTAGCAAGAACAGTCAAAAAGAGGCCTTCCTCACTGACTGCTCCACATGTGTGTCACCACTGAGGTTAGAGTCTAGATGAAAACCAAGCTACTTGGCTGTTGTTACCACTGGTACTTCCTGTCCTCCTAGGATTAGTGGTGCAGGTTGTGGATGGTCTCTAGAAAAACTATTTTTCTTCCCATTCAGGAGCATGTTCTTGGATGTGGCCCACTCTTCCAGCTGCTTTGCCTCCAAGCCCATGGAAGTGTCCTCTTGGATGCTGGTTAATGGTATGGCTCGGGACAGCCCTACAGCGTCTGCATACCCAGTGTCCAGAGTGTTACTGAAGACAACTTTTTGGGTGGACGTGAAGTAGAAACAGATATGGTGAAACCACACCCCCTTGTGGCACACCAGAGGTGACCTCTGACCAAGGGCTAAATGTGCCATTTGCCATCACTCTCTGCCTTCTTCCGGTGGTGTAGCTGTGGAGCCAGGCTAGTAACCTTGGACACAGTTCAATGTCAGACAGATGTTGCAGGAGCTTTGCGTGATCTACTCGATCAAGCGGCTAGCAGGCCTCTTGGAGACAGGCCCTTTATATTCTAATCCGAAAGTACGAAATGTTCTGTAAACACCAGCCTGAGAGGCTGGGAGGAAGACACAACAGAATCACACAGTATCAAAGATCCATTATCACTGTGACCTCGGCTCAGTCTGGCCTCAAACTTTAACCATAACATTCAACACTGACAGACATTTGATACTTGCAGTTAAACAGGTCAAAGGTAGGAACATAAGTACTTAGTTATAGTAAATCAAATGCAGGAAAGGAATTAATCAAATAATTCCCCATTACAGTCATAGTTAGAAAGTCCCAATGTTCTTCATGGGGATGCAGGTAGGCCTTTATATTACAGATGAACATTTGAGACAAATATGTGGTTCATTTAGACCATGAAGACGACTGTTTTTAATGAAAACTACCACAGGGGGTCTTTTGAGCCATACTGTATGATCACAGTGCCAGACGGAAAAAGAAATAGCCAGACGATAGTGTCAGTTCCTCTGAGTGAATGTTAATGTCTGTATCTCTGTCTTTTCTTATTGGAAAATAATAAACAGATTATGAAAAGAAAGGGGGGGAAAAGATGACTCTTCATTCATCTCTGGTGTTGCGTTTAAAGCCTGATCTTTTATAGCCTGTGGTTTGCCACCACTAGCAGAGTGAGGTAGGGGTGTGTGAGACTTTCTTAATTTCCTGTCTCCTCACATCATGTCCAAGTCCACCTTCTCTGTTCACTGCAGCCTCAAAGTGAGCAGTGACCGAAATTGCACCCTGAAACTTTCAGCTCCCACACTTCCTGTTTGTGTGGACCTGTTCCTCTGTCTGGTCCTCTCTCAGGCTTTATGGTGGCTACAAGCTTCACTTTGTCGATCGACGTGCATGGGGCAGCGCACACTTTTGTCCACATTGTCGTTGTGTTCCACCCAGAGAGGAAGTCCGCCTTGTGTAGTGTAAATCCACTTAGGGGGCTTGGGGAGCCAGATTAGCTTACCGAGCAAGAGGAGCCGAGGCACTCTTTGGCTGTAGCAAGGGATGTCACTTGAACTTCCGGATCCGGTGTTACAGTGGCTTGCGAAAGTATTCACCCCCCTTGGCATTTTTCCTATATTGTTGCCTTACAACCTGGAATTAAAATTGATTTTTGGGGGGTTTGTATCATTTGATTTACACAACATGCCTACCACTTTGAAGATGTAAAATATGAAACAAACAAGAAATAAGACAGAAAAACTGAAAACTTGAACGTGCATACAGTGAGGGAAAAAAGTATTTGATCCCCTGCTGATTTTGTACGTTTGCCCACTGACAAAGAAATTATCAGTCTATATTTTTAATAGTAGGTTTATTTGAACAGTGAGAGACAGAATAACAACAAAAAAATCAAGAAAAACGCATGTCAAAAATGTTATAAATTGATTTGCATTTTAATGAGGGAAATAAATATTTGACCCCCTCTCAATCAAAAAGATTTCTGGCTCCCAGGTGTCTTTTATACAGGTAACGAGCTGAGATTAGGAGCACACTCTTAAAGGGAGTGCTCCTAATCTCAGCTTGTTACCTGTATAAAAGACACCTGTCCACAGAAGCAATCAATCAATCAGATTCCAAACTCCATCATGGCCAAGACCAAAGAGCTCTCCAAGGATGTCAGGGACAAGATTGTAGACCTACACAAGGCTGGAATGGGCTACAAGACCATTGCCAAGCAGCTTGGTGAGAAGGTGACAACAGAAGGTGCGATTATTCCCAAATGGAAGAAACACAAAATAACTGTCAATCTCCCTCGTCCTGGGACTCCATGCAAGATCTCACCTTGTGGAGTTGCAATGATCATGAAAACGGTGAGGAATCAGCCCAGAACTACACGGGAGGATCTTGTCAATGATCTTAAGGCAGCTGGGACCATAGTCACCAAGAAAACAATTGGTAACACACTACGCCGTGAAGGACTGAAATCCTGCAGCGCCCGCAAGGTCCCCCTGCTCAAGAAAGCACATATACAGGCCTGTCTGAAGTTTTCCAATGAACATCTGAATGATTCAGAGGAGAACTGGGTGAAAGTGTTGTGGTCAGATGAGACCAAAATCGAGCTCTTTGGCATCAACTCAACTCGCCGTGTTTGGAGGAGGAGGAATGCTGCCTATGACCCCAAGAACACCATCCCCACCATCAAACATGGAGGTGGAAACATTATGCTTTTGGGGTGTTTTTCTGCTAAGGGGACAGGACAACTTCACCGCATCAAAGGGACGATGGACGGGGCCATGTACCGTCAAATCTTGGGTGAGAACCTCCTTCCCTCAGCCAGGGTATTGAAAATGGGTCGTGGATGGTTATTCCAGCATGGTAATGACCCAAAACACACGGCCAAGGCAACAAAGAGTGGCTCAAGAAGAAGCACATTAAGGTCCTGGAGTGGCCTAGCCAGTCTCCAGACCTTAATCCCATAGAAAATCTGTGGAGGGAGCTGAAGGTTCGAGTTGCCAAACGTCAGCCTCGAAACCTTAATGACTTGGAGAAGATCTGCAAAGAGGAGTGGGACAAAATCCCTCCTGAGATGTGTGCAAACCTGGTGGCCAACTACAAGAAACGTCTGACCTCTGTGATTGCCAACAAGAGTTTTGCCACCAAGTACTAAGTCATGTTTTGCAGAGGGGTCAAATACTTATTTCCCTCATTAAAATGCAAATCAATTTATAACATTTTTGACATGGATTGGATTTTTGTTTTGTTATTCTGTCTCTCACTGTTCAAATATACATACCATTAAAATTATAGACTGATCATGTCTTTCTCAGTGGGCAAACGTACAAAATCAGCAGGGGATCAAATACTTTTTTCCCTCACTGTAACTATTCACCCCCCCAAAGTCAATACTTTGTAGAGCCACCTTTTGCAGCAATTACAGCTTCAAGTCTCTTGGGGAATATCTCTATAAGCTTGGCACATCTAGCCACTGGGATTTTTGCCCATTCTTCAAGGCAGAACTGCTGCAGCTCCTTCAAGTTGGATGGGTTCCGCTGGTGTAAAGCAATCTTTAAGTCATACCACAGATTCTCAATTGGATTGACGTCTGGGCTTTGACTAGGCCATTCCAAGACATTTAAATGTTTCCCCTTAAACCACTCGAGTGTTGCTTTAGCAGCATGCTTAGAGTCATTGTCCTGCTGGAAGGTGAACCTCCGTCCCAGTCTCAAATCTCTGGAAGACTGAAACAGGATTCCCTCAAGAATTTCCCATCCATCATTCCTTCAATTCTGACCAGTTTCCTAGTCCCTGCCGATGAAAAACATCCCCACAGCATGATGCTGCCACCACCATGCTTCACTGTGGGGATGGTGTTCTTGGGGTGATGAGAGGTGTTGGGTTTGCGCCAGACATAAAGTTTTCCTTGATGTCCAAAAAGCTCAATTTTAGTCTCATCTGACCAGAGTACCTTCCATATGTTTGGGGAATCTCCCACATGCCTTTTGGCGAACACCAAACGTGTTTGCTTATTTTTTTCTTTAAGCAATAGCTTTTTTCTTACCACTCTTCCATAAAGCACAGCTCTGTGGAGTGTACGGCTTAAAGTTGTCCTATGGACAGATAATCCAATCTCCGCTGTGGAGCTTTGCAGCTCCTTCAGGGTTATCTTTGGTCTCTTTGTTGCCTCTCTGATTAATGCCCTCCTTGCCTGGTCTGTGAGTTTTGGTTGGCGGCCCTCTCTTGGCAGGTTTGTTTTGGTGCCATATTCTTTCCATTTTTTTAATAATGGATTTAATGGTGCTCCGTGGGATGTTCAAAGTTTCTGATATTTTTTTATAACCCAACCCTGATCTGTACTACTCCACAACTTTTTCCCTGACCTGTTTGGAGAGCTCCTTGGTCTTCATGGTGCCGCTTGCTTGGTGGTGTCCCTTGCTTAGTGGTGTTGCAGACTCTGGGGCCTTTCAAAACAGGTGTATATATACTGAGATCATGTGACAGATCATGTGACACTTAGATTGCACACAGGTGGACTTTATTTAACTAATTATGTGACTTCTGAAGGTAATTGGTTCCACCAGATCTTATTTAGGGGCTTCATAGCAAAGGGGGTGAATACATATGCATGCACCACTTTTCCGTTAATTATTCTTTATAATTTTTTGAAACAAGTTAATTTCACTCCACCAATTTGGACTATTTACATGTCCATTACATGAAATCCAAATAAAAATCTATTTAAATTACAGGTTGAAATGCAACAAAATTGAAAAAACGCCAAAGGGGATGAATACTTTTGCAAGGCATGCCTTTTTGTTTATAAATACTAGCTAGCTATATGTGTACACTAGCTAGCTACATAACTAGCTGTGTGTGAATACTGATTATAGATTACTGGCTCCTTCCTCCTCCTCCATCTTTGTTTCCGCCCACAGAGAGTCCTTAACGTTTGTTAATTAGTAGGTTGAGTAGGTTTTGGCAAATTTAACTGCCACTGAGATAACCACCTAGAAAACTGCTCCCTCATCTTCGGTCAAGATGGTTGGTAGTAATGCTGATAATAACCTTGGTTTCCTCTCTCTCCAGGTACGACACGCCCCCCTCGAGACAGGGAGGTTCCCGGGGTTGATTACAACTTCCTGTCCGTGGAGGACTTCCTGAACCTTGAGCAGAGTGGAACACTACTGGAAATAGGAACTTATGAAGGTGAGGATGATGATGGTGGTGGTGATGATGACGATGGTCATAATGATGATGATGATGATGATGCTGGTGGTGTTGGTTTTAGTGATGCTGGTGATGATGATGATGATGATTATGATGCTATGGTAGACTGTAGGAGTGGAGAAGATAATTTTTCTATTTTTTATAAGATCAGTTCACAAGATTATTTTATTTGTTTATTTGTATTATTGTTATTTTTTATTTTTTTACAATACAAAACATACACATACAAACAGATCACAAGATTATCCTTACCTAGATTACCACAGTGATAAGTATTCTGTCCTGACAGAAACTACAATCCACCTGTGTGTGTGTGTGTGTGTGTGTGTTTGGGTGTGTGTGTGTGTGTGTGTGTGTGTGTGTGTGTGTTTGTGCACGTGTAGTGTTAATCTGCTTGGCACCTGTACTATTGTGTGTTTGGCTCCTTTCTCCCTGCCCCGCAGACAATGTCAAATACCTGTCCACAGGAGCCTAATGCCTTCCAAATACAAATATGAGGCAGACCTACATACACTAGGTCTCAATGACATGACATGCAGTGGCATTGAGATATGTCCAAAATTGTAACTTTCCAAGAATTGTGGATAGACTTTTAAAAAATGTTTTCAGGATAATTTTTTAAGATCAGGATTTTCAGTTCATCAGTTGTAGATAATGACTTAGAATTAGAATGTAGTTTTGAGCATGTGTCGCTATCTCCTGCATTGCATTGTGGATGGTATTTACTTATCAGTGGGATTTACAGGAAATAAACATAAGCAACAGAAGTCATTTCAATATATAGATAAACAAAAGTGAAATTAACAATAAAAAGTGAACAGTAAACAATACACTCACAAAAGTTCCAAAGGAATAGAGACATTTCAAATGTCATATTATGGCCATATACAGTGTTGTAACGATGTGCAAATAGTTAAAGTACAAAAGGAAAAATACATAAACATAAATATGGGTTGAATTTACAATGGTGTTTGCCCTTTTCTTGTGGCAATAGGTCACAAATCTTGCTGCTGTGATTGCACACTGTGGTATTTCACCCAATAGATATGGGAGTTTATCAAGATTGGATTTGTTTTCGAATTCTTTGTGGGGCTGTGTAATCTGAGGGAAGTACAGTGCCTTGCAAAAGTATACATCCCCCTTGGCGTTTTTCCTATTTTGTTGCTTTACAACCTGTAATTTAAATAGATTTTTTTTTGGATTTCATGTAATGGATACACACAAAATATTAGAAATTAGTGAAGTGAAAAAACATAACTTGTTTCAAAAATTTCAAAAAAATAAATAACGGAAAAGTGGTGCGTGCATATGTATTCACCCCCTTTGCTATGAAGCACCTAAATAAAAAATATCAGAAACTATGAACATCCCACGGAGCACCATTAAATCCATTATTAACAAATGGAAAGAATGGCACCACAACTATAATGAATACTCAGGGAGAAAAAGGTGTGGATTCACGCGCAGAGTGCGGCAGGTGTTTATTTCGCCTTCGCAGAAGGTAGGAATCGTGGTCACAGGCGGAGAATGGTCATACACAGGTAGACAAACAGGCAGGAGAATCAAAAACTAGGACTGAAGGCTATAACTGTTTCTCACAAACGAGCTAGGAAAAGGCTAAGTAAAGTCAAAACGAACAATACCTCACAAGGCACAAACAGAATGAACTGAACTAAATAAGGAGCTAATGAGACCAGGTGAGTAACAAACACAGGTGAAATCAATGAACAAACATGAAAGACAGGGCTACGTTCAAGAACACAAAGAAACAGGGCTACGTTCAAGAACACAAGGTTGACTAAGAAAATAAATATAGAACCTTACAACAACAAACCTGCCAAGAGAGGGCCGCCCACCAAAACTCACAGACCAGGCAAGGAGGGCATTAATCAGAGAGGCAACAAAGAGACCAAAGATAACCCTGAAGGAGCTGCAAAGCTCCACAGCGGAGATTGGAGTATCTGTCCATAGGACCACTTTAAGCTGTGCACTCCACATAGCTGGGCTTTACGGAAGAGTGGCCAGAAAAAATCCATTGCTTAAAGAAAAAAATAAGCAAACACGTTTGGTGTTCGCCAAAGGGCATGTGGGAGACTCCCCAAACATATGGAATAAGGTACTCTGGTCAGATGAGACTAAAATTGAGCTTTTTGGACATCAAGGAAAACGCTATCTCTAGCGCAAAGGCAAATTCTTGAGGGAAACCTGTTTCAGTCTTCCAGAAATTTGAGACTGGGACGGCGGTTCACCTTCCAGCAGGACAATGACCCTAAGCCTACTGCTAAAGCAACACTTGAGTGGTTTAAGGGGAAACATTTAAATGTCTTGGAATGGCCTAGTAAAAGCCCAGACCTCAGTCCAATTGAGAATCTGTGGTATGACTTAAAGATTGCTGTACACCAGCTGAACCCATCCAACTTGAAGGAGCTGGAGCAGTTTTGTCTTGAAGAATGGGCAGAAATCCCAGTGGCTAGATGTGCCAAGCTTATAGAGACATACCCCAAGAGACTTGCAGCTGTAATTGCTGCAAAAGGTGGCTCTACAAAGTATTGACTTCTGGGGGGGGGGGGGGGGGGGGGGGGGTGAATAGCTATGCACGTTTTTTGTTTTTCTGTCTTATTTCTTGTTTGTTTCACAATAAAAACATGTTTGCATCTTCAAAGTGTTAGGCATGTTGTGTAAATCAAATGATACAAACCCCCCAAAAATCCATTTGAATTCCAGGTTGTAAGGCAACAAAATGGGGAAAATGCCAAGGGGGGTGAATACTTTCACAAGCCACTGTATGTGTTGTCATAGAAATATATATGACTCGAAAGTAGTCAACTCAAACATATCTCACAAGAAACTGGAGCCTGTGAATCCAAGAATTAGACTTTTATTATCTAATAACAAAAGCCGAGCAGTTCCATGAAACGGCTGTCTCTCTTTGGCTTAGAGCTCCCTTTTATACACATACACAAATGCACAAACATGCGTACATGGCATATACAGTTACCCCCTTATGGCAAATTCCTAACTTATTTTAGTTCTACACTACCCTTCTTTTTCAATGTCCAGCTGTCACACAATGTCCACTCCAAAAGGTCATGAATGCTTTTTTCTATATGAAGCCTCTCATTCTATCATTCTATTGGCTGCGTGGCCTAGGCCCCTTCTTAAAAAATAACTAAGGTAATGCATACAATGTGTCCATAATAAGCCCATGGGCCACAGTTTGAAAGCCCCTTTGACAGAGCACATACATTCATTTAAACATAGTCATGTTTATTACTAATATTATTATTTTACCTTTGACCTCTCCCTACATTTGCCTTAATGATACATAAAATAATACCATTGTGTCTCTAATATGGTCATACATTTGGCAGGGGAGTGTGCCAAATGTTTTGTGGGCAGTGTGCACATAGCCTGTCTGCCTATGGCAGCCTTTCTCAATAGCAAGGCTATGCTCACTGAGTCTGTACATAGTCAAAGCATTCCTCAATTTTTGGTCAGTCACACTGGTCAGGTATTCTGCATGCAGAGTCTCAATTTGGTGTTTGTCCCATTTTGTGAATTCTTGGTTGGTGAGCGGACCCCAGACCTCACAACCATAAAGGGCAATGGGTTCTATAACTGATTCAAGTATTTGACATACCTAATTGGTATGTCAAATTTTATGTTCCTTTTGATGGCATAGATGGCCCTTCTTGCCTTGTCTCTCAGATCGTTCACAGCTTTGTGGAAGTTAACTGTGTTTAGATTGAATTTGTATTTGTGGCCCTGGCAACTGCACCTTTTTTGGAACACCATTATTTTGTCTTACTAAGATTTACTGTCAGGGCCCAGGTCTGACAGAATCTGTACAGAAGATCTAGGTGCTGCTGTAGAAGCACCAGATCATCAGCAAACAGTAGACATTTGACTTCAGATTCTAGTAGGGTGAGGCTGGTGCTAGAGAAAAAGACTCCAGGAACGAAGAACGGAGCTAAGAGAGGGGGCGAACAAAGAACACATCCCCCAAAAACCCCCCCCCCCTCCCTTTATCCCCCGAAAAGACCCCGTCCCTCAAGCCCTCGCCGGGTCTCTTCACTTCTCCATACCATCCAGACAGTTCCGCTCGCAAGCCGCTAAAAATACGTCTCTCTCTCTCCTACTCTCCTTCTCCCTCTCTCCCTCTCCCTCCCCGTCCCCCCTACCCCTTCCTATCTCCCTCCCCCTCCCCCTCTCCCTCCCCGTTCCTCTCTCCTTCTCAGCTAATGTCCCTCTTGTTGCCTAGGTAACTATTATGGGACCCCTAAGCCGCTGAGGCAGCCCGTGGTTGGGACAGTGATTCTCAGTGATGCTGTGCTCCTCGACGGTCCCCCAGGCTCCCAGCAGTCCACTCCCAAGCGCACCAAGTCCTACAATGACATGCAAAACGCCCGAGTAGTGCCTGCTGACTACGAGGATGACGACCAGGCCACAGAAATGAACAACAGTTTTACAGGTATGTCATTGTACGTGCGGTCAGACAGTTAGACACAGACTACCACTACCAAACCAGGCTGGTGTTCACTGTGGGATGTGTGTATTTGGGGTGTGGGTGAGTTGTGTGTGTGTGTGTGCGCATGTATGTTTGTGTGTATGTGTGCTAGCATGTCTACGCACATGCGTGAAAGAGAGTGTGTGTCTGTGTTTGTGCTCTCCTCTGCCCTGTGTTGCTGGGTGTTGGGCGCGCGACATCATGTCTTTGTGATGCTGACTTCTCTTTGTGAGACTCATAACACTGCCATCTGCCTGTGAGGAGGGAAGAAACACAGTACAGGCAAGGATCATAGGGCCTCGATCTCCTCTCTCTCTCTCTCTCTCTCTCTTTCTCTCTATCTATCTCAGCTTTGTCTCCTCCGTTATAGATAGAAGTGCTGGATGAGCTAGAGCGACTCTTCGAGATCTTTCTCGGTCTCTCGATTTTCTCCTCTCTCTCTCATTCTCTCTCTCTCTCTCTCTTCTCTCTCCTCTCTCTCTTCTCTTTCTCTCTTTCTCGCTCCCTTTCTCTCTCTTGCTCTCTCTCTCACTCCCTCCATCTTTCTCTCTCTCTCGCTCTCTTTCTCTCTCTCTCACACTCTCTCTCTTTCTTGTTTTCTCTAACATTTTGTGAATAGTTTTTAGGCATAATTTCTGACTGAGTTTGAAATATCGCTTATCAGAACCTGTGTTAATGTGTTAGCCCAGACAGGAAGCAAGCTGATGGGGACGGATGAGTGTGTTTTTCTCTCTGTCTCTCTCTCTTTGAAGTCTGTTCCATCCTGGAGAGTGTGTGAGACAGTCAGTCAGTTCCTAGATGGAGTTTATTTTCTCATGGGCGGGCAGGCAGTGTGAAACTATGCTCACTCTGTGTGTCCTGCCAGTCTGGCAGAGTGGTGGATTAGCGTTTGATCACCCCTGAAAGGCTCACGGAAGTGAGAGAGGGAGGAGGGAGGCAGGGAGGGCAAGATAAAGGGAGGGAACTGGGGGGTTGGGTTTTAAGAGAAATGGAGACTGACTGCATTTTCATTATAGTCATTGGGCCCATTCCTTTTGGACTAGCAGGCAGGGGGTTTACAGAGGGAGGGAGAGAAATGAGTTAAGAAAGGGGGAAATGTTTTGCAGTTGTGAACCATAGTGTAAATGTTTTTGTTGGTTTTAGTAGTGCAGTGTACCCTTATCATAAAGTGTGTTATCGTTCCACCCTTAGATTCCCACATTAGGGTTGCTGCATGAAACATAAATCTCCTCTCTCTGTTTTGTTCTGTGTTGTCGTGCTCCTTACTTTCCCAGGATCCTTAGTGCGTAGTCTCTTCCCCTCTCCCTTGTTGTGCACAGGTAACCCTAGCGACCAGGACGAGAGCCGCGGAGGTGTTCTACGGCCATACCCCGCGCGCGAGAACGCTCCGTCCTATGGTCTGAACAACGTGGCCGCCACCACCTCGGACAGCGGGCAGCAGACACACGCCCAGCCCCAGGCCTCCCCAGAAGACCCCCTAGGACCCCTTCCAGACAACTGGGAGATGGCCTACACCGAGAACGGAGAAGTCTACTTTATAGAGTATGTATAATATACACAACATGACCACAAGTATGTGGACACCTGCTCATTAAACATCTCATTCCAAAATCATGAGTTGGTCCCCCCTTTGCTGCTATAACAGCCTCCACTCATCTGGGAAGGCTTTCTACTAGATGTTAGAACATTGCTGCAGGGACTTGCTTCCATTAAGCCACAAGAGCATTAGTGAGGTCGGGCACTGATGGTTGGCAATTTGGCCTGGCTCGCAGTCGGCGTTCCAATTCATCCCAAAGGTGTTTGATGGAGTTAAGGTCAGGGCTCTGTGCAGGCCAGTCAAGTTCTTCCACCCCGATCTCGACAAACCATTTCGATATGGACCTCGCTTTGTGCACAGGGGCATTGTCATGCTGAAACAGGAAAGGGCCTTCCCCAAACTGTTGCCACAAAGTTGGAAGCACAGAATCGCCAAGAATGTCATTGTATGCTGTAGCATTACGATTTCCCTTCACTGGAACTAAGGGGCCTAGCCCGAACCATGAAAAACAGCCCCAGACCATAATTCCTCCTCCAACAAACCTTACAGTTGGCACTATGCATTTGGGCAGGTAGCGTTCTCCTGGCATCCGCCAAACCCAGATTCGTCCGTCAGACTGCCAGACTGAAGCGTGATTCATCACTCCAGAGAACATGTTTCCACTGCCCCAGAGTCCAATGGCTAGCTTTACACCACACCAGCTGATGCTTGGCATTGTGCATAGTGATCTTAGGCTTGTGTGTGGCTGCTCGGCCATGGAAACCCATTTCATGACGCTCCTGACGAACAGTTCTCGTGCTGAAGTTTGCTTCCAGAGGCAGTTTGGAACTCAGTAGTGAGTGTTGCAACCGAGGACAGACGATTTGTATGCATTACGCGCTTCAGCACTCTGCGGTCCTGTTCTGTGAGCTTGTGTGGCCTAACACTTCGTGGCTGAGCCGTTGTTGCTCCTAGATGTTTCCACTTCACAGCACTTACAGTTGACTGGGCAGCTCTAGCAGGGCAGTAATTTGATGAACTGACTTGTTGGAAAGGTGGCATTCTATGAAGGCGCCACGTTGAAAGTCACTGAGCTCTTCAGTAAGGCCATTCTACTGTAAATGTTTGTCTATGGAGATTGCATGGCTGTGTGCTCGATTTTATACACCTGTCAGCAAAGGGTGTGGCTGAAATAGCCGAACCCACTAATTTGAAGGTGTGTCCACATACTTTTGTATACATAGTGCACCTTACACCCTACATCCTACACCAATAATGGAGAGCGACTCCAGTCCACATCATCAAATCAATCAAATCAAATTGTATTTATCACGTGCCGAATACAACTTTACAGTGAAATGCTTGTTTACGAATCATTCCCAATGATGCAGAGTTTAAAAAATATGATAAAACATTAAATAGTTACTTACACAAGAGGAATAAAATAAAATACACAAGAATGGAGCTATATACAGGGAGTACCAGTGCCAGATCAATGTGCAGCGGTACGAGGTACTTGAGGTAGATATCTCCATGAAGGCTGGGTAACGTGACTAGGCATCTGCATAGCTAGATAATAATACGAGTAAAATAAAGAACAGAGTAGCAGCAGCAAATGATGAGTGTAAAAGCGTGTGTGTGAGTGTGTGTGTATGTATGTTTGTCTGTGTTGTGTGGGTATGCGTGTGTATGTTATGTATGTGTGCATGTGTATTGTTTGAATGTGTGAGTGATTTGTGTGTGAGTGAGTGTGTATATGGTGTGTATATATAGTCTAGTGAGTGTGCATAGGGTCAGTGCAAGATAGAGTCAGTGCAGATATTTCGGGTACCATTAATTGACTATTTAGCAGTCTGGCTATTTAGCAGTCTAATGGCTTGGGGGTAAAAACTGTCTCGGCGCCTGTTGGTCCGAGAGCCGATGCTCCGGTACCGTTTGCCAGACGGTAGCAGAGTGAACAGTCTATGGCTTGGGTGGCTGGAGTCTTTGGCTATTTTTTGGCCATTCCTCTGACACCGGGTGATATATAGAGGTCCTGGATGACAGGGAGCTCAGCCCCAGTGATGTACTGGGCTTTTTGCACCACCCATAGTGTACATATTCACCCTGTACACTATGCCCTATACCCTATGTAAGTACCGTTACACTGAGAATGAAGAGGTCTACTTCATAGACTACATACCCTAAATACAGTGCCCTATATACTCCCTATACTATCAAGCCTCTCTGTCCTGTATCCCACCACTATCCCACCCTCCCTCCTCCCTTCCCTCAGACAGGCCTGTCAGTGCTCATTGCTCTCCAGGCCATTAATCCTCTATAGTCTGATCTCTTTTGAAATCACAGGCAGATCAGATCACTTGACCACCTCAATGAAGCCCAGCCCTCTGTCCTCAGACCAACACACAGAGCTGGGTCTGCCTGCCTGCCTGCCTGTCTGCCTGTCTGCCTGCCTGCCTGCCTGCCTGCCTGTCTGTCTGTCTGTCTGTCTGTCTGTCTGTCTGTCTGTCTGTCTGTCTGTCTGTCTGTCTGTCTGTCTGTCTGTCTGTCTGTCTGTCTGTCTGTCTGTCTGTCTGTCTGTCTGTCTGTCTGTCTGTCTGTCTGTCTGTCTGTCTGTCTGTCTGTCGTCTGTCTGTCTGTCTGTCTGTCTGTCTGTCTGTCTGTCTGTCTGTCTGTCTGTCTGTCTGTGTCTGTCTGTCTGTCTGTCTGTCTGTCTGTCTGTCTGTCTGTCTGTCTGTCTGTCTGTCTGTCTGTCTGTCTGTCTGTCTGTCTGTCTGTCTGTCTGCCTGCCTGCCTGCCTGTCTGTCTGTCTGTCTGTCTGTCTGTCTGTCTGCCTGCCTGCCTGCCTGCCTGCCTGCCTGCCTGCCTGCCTGCCTGCCTGCCTGCCTGTCTGTCTGTCTGTCTGTCTGTCTGTCTGTCTGTCTGTCTGTCTGTCTGTCTGTCTGTCTGTCTGCCTGCCTGCCTGCCTGCCTGCCTGCCTGCCTGCCTGCCTGCCTGCCTGCCTGCCTGTCTGTCTGTCTGTCTGCCTGCCTGCCTGCCTGCCTGCCTGCCTGCCTGCCTGCCTGCCTGCCTGCCTGCCTGCCTGCCTGCCTGCCTGCCTGCCTGTCTGTCTGTCTGTCTGCCTGCCTGCCTGCCTGCCTGCCTGCCTGCCTGCCTGCCTGCCTGCCTGCCTGCCTGCCTGCCTGCCTGCCTGTCTGTCTGTCTGTCTGTCTGTCTGTCTGTCTGTCTGTCTGTCTGTCTGTCTGTCTGTCTGTCTGTCTGTCTGTCTGTCTGTCCGTCCGTCCGTCCGTCCGTCCGCCCGCCCGCCCGCCTGTCTGTCTGGCTGTCTGCCTGGCTGGCTGGCTGGCTGGCTGGCTGGCTGGCTGGCTGGCTGGGAGGGGATGAGGAAATAGCTGGGTGCATTCAACACCTGCATGTTGGTCTGCTTTTATTATTGGACTAGCAGAGTCACGAGGATTGAAAGGAGAGCTTGTAGTGGTGATGTTGAGGATACAGCTAACTATTCTAGACAATAGGTCGACAATGACTCCAACCCTCTTGTCTGTGTTTCTCAATAGGGGAGAAGTCTGTTTGGTGTAGCGTTAATCTCTGTTTGGTTTTACTAGTTTGTTGACAAGCCTATTGACCTAAACCCTTTATGTCCTTGTGCTGATGAGATCATTGGGCCTTTGTTAGCTTTTAGTGCTCATCACCTTGACTTCAGAGCCAGTCTTTAACAGCTCTGTGTGTTTGTTGTTTTCTCAGCCACAACACAAAGACCACATCATGGCTCGACCCTCGCTGTCTGGAGAAACCTCTGGAACCTCTGGAAGAGTGTGAGGATGATGGTAAGCCAAGCCGTGTGTGTGTGTGTGTGTGTGTGTGTGTGTGTGTGTGTGTGTGTGTGTGAGAGAGAGAGAGAGCGAGAGAGGATGTGAGTGTGTTTGTGTGTGTGTCATTCATTTCTGTGCTCTATTGTTTACCACTTAATCTTGTACCTTGTTGATAGTATCAGTAGGTGGTGACACTGAGCTCATATATAAATATGATAAAGTCTGTTTCTATACAGTGGTCCTGTCATTACTATGACAGTGTTTTGATACCTTGAAAAATGGAAAAATTGTTATTTTTTTTGATTGGCTTTCCATCTAAGGAATTGTGTAATAGTTCCTTTGAATATTTGTGTAAATGTAACATTTTCAAATAAATATCTATGCAACAATGTCACATTAAATTTGTTTAGGAACATACAAGTAATGATATAGATGTCTGTGTGTGAAAATTCAGAAGAAATACATTATTTTGACCAATTCTTCGACCAATATCAGAAATGGCACCACCATGTGGCCGTTTAGCTAACTGTGTCATGTTTTAGGTCCATATATCATTGATTTAATGGATTACGGTGCATCTATTTTTCAGTAAATACTCATTGGTGACTTAAAGATGTATATTTCTCTCCCTCCTTGTCTTTCTCTGTAATATTACTGTCTCTCCTTATTTTCCTTTATTTGTCATTCCATCAACCAATCAAACCCCTTTCTTTTTCATCCTGCTCTCTTCACATTGGAGAAGAAGGGGTACATACTGAGGAACCGGACAATGAGCTAGGTATGCACCTTTATTTGCTCTCTCTCTCTCTCTCTCTCTCTCTCTCTCTCTCTCTCTCTCTCTCTCTCTCTCTCTCTCTCTCTCTCTCTCTCTCTCTCTCTCACTTTGTTTCTGTCATTGCATTGGCTATCGGCTGTATATTGGTGAGGGTTATGGTGATTCTCAACCTTTTCTTTCTATACTGTTAATCAATCAATCATATTTGATTTGAAAAGCATTTTATACAAAATCTTGATCTACAACTACTAAATTATTTCTTACCATGTCACTCACCTATTTGGATGTGTCACGATAATTGTATTATTTGGCTCATATATTGACTTAACAGGGTGGGCTGCTTGCTTCTAACTGCTGAGTGAGTGATTTCCTTTTATGCAGGAGAACACAGTAGGAATATGTTTGTATTTGACGTCTCAGGTTGGTCTCCGTACTTATTGGTTTGACGTCTCAGGTTGGTCTCCGTACTTATTGGTTTGACGTCTCAGGTTGGTCTTCGTACTTATTGGTTTGACGTCTCAGGTTGTTCTCCGTACTTATTGGTTTGACATCTCAGGTTGGTCTCCGTACTTATTGGTTTGACATCTCAGGTTGTTCTCTGTATTTGTTGGTTTGACATCTCAGGATGGTCTCCGTACTTATTGGTTTGACGTCTCAGGTCGGTCTCCGTACTTAGAGCTGCTCCACAGACTGGAAAATTGCTCTGCTGATTCACAGGCCACTTTGTAGACTATTTGGCAGAAACAGAAATGCTCCTGAAAGGGAACGCAATCTCTGACTCTTTCAGGGCCCTGAGTGTCGGGCCTATGAGCTCCTATTATTTCTGGCACATCAGAAGCAGGCAGTCTGTGATTATTGATTGTGAAATCCAGCCAGCTCCAAAGTGTTTGTGGGAGTTATCAGCAGCCCACGCTAACACACGGCGCTAATGTCTTTGTATGAAATCAAATACAGTGAGGAGGAAAATGAGATGCTAAGGCTTTAATGAGAGTGTCAACTTAATAGGCACTCTCTGTCAGACAATTCCCTTTGAGCGCCGATGCAGCCGAGTGTGTGCACGTGTACGAGCTTGTGTTTGTGTGTGTGCGCACGCTGGAGGAAGCAGTATTTGAAAGGTATATACTGAAACATGGTAACATCTGCAGTGAACACATAGCCATAAACTGCATGTAGATGAACAGTTATGTAAGGTAGAATCACACAGATACATAAAGATACATAAAGATGTTGGCTCTCTACATTGTTGTAAATGTCTTATGACTGCCCTGAGTCATGTAGACAGTTGGCCAATGTGATTTTTGTCTGAATGTTCAGAGAACATTGTACTGTCTATTTCTATGAAGATGTCCATTGAAAGCAGATATGCAATTTGTTGACACCACAACACAGTACCGACTTGGATGCACATTGCACATTATCCCGAATGCTAATCAATAAAATAATCTGTTAAATCTGCTGCTCTGTTTTGCCTGTTTACAGCGGGTCATTTCATAGGGAACTGTCGGAGGCGCTCTTGTATTCTCAAGTCACCAACATTTGGAGAATAAAGGCGCTAACATGGCGACCGATATAAAACCTGGCCAAACTCTCTTAATATATGGTTCTGGACTGGTCTATATACAGTACTGGCCTGCTGGCTAAGTTAACTTGTGGGAGGCGTGCAATTGTGTACATCTATCAACTGTTTGTAGCAGTTGACAACGTAGAAAACAACCTGGTTCTGTTCTGAAGACAGAGATAAATATGAGCGGGCTGGGTCTGAGTGTATGAATAGTGAATTTAGTAGGAGGGAGCGGTCAAACTCTGCAGTCTAATTTAGTTCAGAAACTCCCCTGACAGCTGGCTGTGTGTGTAGCCTGTGTGTGTGTCTCGCTCAGTGAGGTAGAGAGAGTAGTTTGACTCCATATTAAATGTCTGCACCATGGGCCACTGACTGTACTGAGAAAAAAAATAACAAATAGGAATAATAATAAAGCGAAGAGTCATGTCAGGTAAACATAGATTCACTTCAGAGTTGCTTTACACACCTGAGAGACCTTGAATAAGGAAAACAGCACAGTGTCATCCTCTAAAGTTCTTACTGAAGGAGAACACTACCTTAATGAATGTGTAATTACAGTGATCTAACATTGCTGTTCCTTCTCTGTTTCAGAGCTGCCTGCAGGATGGGAGAAGATAGATGACCCAGTGTATGGGGTGTACTACGTAGAGTAAGTTGGAACACCTCATTGACACCTCACGGTTCATAGCGATCTTTTTTCACATTCCTCTCATTAACCCCACAATAATTAATAAGACGGAATTCATCAGCATTTTCATGTAGTTTACTGTAAACTGCGACATTTCAGCTGAACTGGCATTTTCTCTCCATCTCTCTGTCAGACCTTTTTTACATTCAGTGTACTATAATTGGTTTGAAGCAAAGTAGATTTAGCTGAAACCAGACTCCATTTTGTGTGGCCAGTGTGTAGTTTGTGTAGACCTATGTGGTTGCCACAGAGCTGGTGGGATTTACGAGGCTGTGAGCCAGAGGATGTCAAACACTGTGTACTGCCATTTATCATGGTGACAATCAATATCCCACACTCATCCTTTCCTGCCTGGTTCCCTGGGGAGGTAGGAGCAAATTAGCAATATACACTCAAGAGAAAGGGAAGGCGAGGCGAGAGAGAGAAGAGAGAGGAGAGTAGGAGAGAGAGCAGAGAGAGAGAGCGAGAGCGAGAGAGAGAGAAGCGAGGAGAGAGAGAGAGAGGCAAGAGAGAGAGAGAGATATATAGATATAGCGAGAGGGTAGAAAACAAACATCGCTCTCCGCTATCTCTCGATCCTCTCTCTCTATCTCTCTCTCTCTCTCCTCTCTCTCTCTCTCTCTCTCCCTCCGCTCTGTCTCTCTCACATCATCTCTCACATCATCAGTCACATCAACAGGAAGACCCAGTATGAGAACCCCATAGTGGAGGCTAAGCGTAGGAAGCAGCTGGAGCAGCCGCAGCCTCCTGAAGGTGAGCGGTACATTCGAGGTTCGTTTCCTGCCCTGGCACGGCACCATTTCTTTCTTTCTTCATGTCTGTCTCCGTCTCGTCTGTCTCTCGACATGTCTTGTCTCATGTCTTGTCCTGCAGGGTTGGGTTTGATTCCATTTGAAGTCAGTAATTCCAGGAAGTTAATTGAAATCCCAGTTTAAGAATTAAAAGTTAGTTCCTCAGAATTAGAATTTCGATTCATTCTCCTGGATTTGAAATGGAATTGGCCCCAACCCTTGTGCTGTCCTGTTGGCGTTTGGGTTCTTATTAGTTTGATTAAAGATCATTAAAACATCATTTTTATATTCCTTTCAAGACATGAGCCACTGTAGCGTCCGCTTATTTGTCATCAGAGGCTTAGAGCTGTGGAAGCTGCCGTCCATGTGCAAACTGCTGCTGATATCATGCTTGCTAAGTGTTAGGACCACTGAGACACAATGTTATGATGAAATGGCATGTAAGGATCAGATGTAATGTTAAAACATATTTTAAATAAATGTATCTCTTATTGCATAATGTACTGTGTTAGAATAAATGACTACTTGCCAGTTATGATGAATAATTAGTCTGTTAAGAGATTTTGGGATTTTGAGGAGTTTGGGTGTATATTGTGCATGTGTTAACTGTGTAGAGCAGGAGTGTCAAACTATTTTTGCCCCGGGGGCCACATTCGGTCTTAAACGAGGTCTGGAGGGCTGCACCGAAAATGTGTTATATTTCCTCGCCTTCAAATGTGTAAAAAGTAGTCCTCTGTCTGTCTAGCTTTCATTTCGGTGATTATTAGGAAGCTGGACAAAGTCAAGAAACTGTATGAATGTATGTCTATCATTTCTACACAGTTTCTATTTGGTTTTAGTCATTTTAAAGTGTATTGCGTTTGTCCCCCCCCCCCCCCCCCCCCCCCCCAGCCAGCGGGCGTATGTTTGACACCCCTGGTGTAGAGCAAGTTTGAGTGAGCAAATGCATGATGTGACGCTTATGTCTGTGTACCTATGTTTGTATTTTATCGATTGTGTACGTTTGTGTGTGTCAGTGTATGTGTGTGTATTTGTGTGTGTGCTTGCGTGCATCCGTGTGTTTGCGCCTGTGCATGCGTGTGTGTTCTTGCATACACCCGTGTGTGTGTGTTTGTGTGTGTGATTTCACAGTCCCTCTGTGTCTCTCGCTGTACAGAGTGGATAGAGGAGCACTCATCAGCTGGTGCTCCCCTGGCCATCTATCCCAGTAACCACCTAGAGACGTACCGTGACCCCCAGGTCCCGCCCCCACTGCCCCCTGCCCCGGGAGGGACCAAACGTGAGTGGGGTTGCACTTTCTAGACAACACACACACACGCACAAACACACACACACACACTTTCAATACCAGGGTCTTTTGCACCACAGACATCTAACTCAAATACACCCACAATGTACAGTTTCAGTGATACACATGCATGACCAGAGACAGACAGACATAAACACAGACAGGGGACCCTTGGGATCAAGGGTTTCAAGGGATCAAACTCTTCAGGAAACAATTACCATATAAGGTTTTTAACATGTCTATCAGCCCACATGTACCATAATGAACGTTCTGTGTATGTTAACTAGCTATGACCAACACACCATGGATATTAAGCATTCTCTACTAGCATTCACTGACTATTGTCACTGATTAAACAAATGGTGAGCAATTGATTATACAATGGTGAGCAATTGATTATATTATATGGATGCTTGGGTTGATGGACAGAAAGACAGACATAGATAGGTAGACAAGTGAAATGACAGACAGGCAGCTAATTTAACTGACACGGACAGACATAGAAATATGTTCCAAATAACGTTATTTGCCCTGTGTTCTGTAGGAGGGAAGCCGTTCTTCACGCGGAACCCAGCGGAGCTGAACGGAATCTTCATAAACACCAAACTGAAGAAGAGCCGCCGCGGGTTCGGCTTTACCGTCGTCGGGGGCGACGAGCCGGATGAGTTCCTACAGATCAAGAGTCTCGTCCTGGATGGTCCTGCTGCTGTGGATGGGAAGATGGAGACAGGTGCAGTACACTGTCTTAGCCCACAGAGGGCACTGTTTTACACCATTTATACAGAAAGCATTTGCCCAATTGCTAAGGAGGTTGAAGTGATTGTGTAAGCTAAAGACTATACATATTGGAGACATATGGTAATATACTTGCACCTCACATAGTACATTCACTGTGTTACTTACTGTTCTACTAACTGTATTACTAACTGTCCTGTCCGTCTCCCTGTCTCTATCCTCTAGGTGATGTCATAGTGAGTGTGAATGACATCATCGTGCTTGGCTACACCCATGCCCAGGTGGTAAAGATCTTCCAGTCCATCCCAATCGGCTCCATGGTGGACCTGGCCCTGTGCCGTGGCTACCCCCTGCCCTTTGACCCCGACGACCCCAACACCAGCCTGGTGACCTCCGTGGCCATCCTGGACAAGGAGCCCATCATCGTCAACGGCCAGCAGAGCTACGACTCCCCGTCCAGCCACGGCAGCCAGACCGGAGGCCCCGTTAACGGGATAAGGGAGCCGCGGGCTCTCAGCCCCTCGGCGGAGGTGACGTCCAACGGCTCTCACGGTTACTCCTCCAGCGATGTGGTCACCCTGGCGTCGTCCATCGCTGGGCAGCCCGAGCTGATCACGGTGCACATGGAGAAGGGCGATAAGGGCTTTGGGTTCACCATCGCTGACAGCCTGACGGGTGGGGGTCAGAGGGTGAAGCAGATTGTGGACTACCCCCGCTGCAGGGGCCTGAAGGAGTCAGACATTCTGATGGAGGTGAACAAGAGGAACGTCCAGAACATGAGTCACAACCAGGTGGTGGACCTGCTCAGCAAGTGTCCCAGAGGGAGCGAGGTCACCATGCTGGTGCAGAGAGGTACGTAGTCCACTGATCAGGATCAGGAGGGAGGGAGAGGAGGAAGGAAGGACTGAGGAATTGGATTGAGGGGTGTCTGGTCATAATGCTGGTACATGCTCAACCCAGGAGGAGGATATGAGAAGGGGAAGGAGGGAATGGGAGAGGAGGATGGATGGAGCAATAGAGGTGTGTCTGCAGATAAAGGCACTTCCACTGGCAAACAGCATGCATAGCTGAGATGTTGAGTGTGTTAGGGAGTAAGTGAGTAAAAGGATGAATACAGGAGGGTGTGGATGTTATGTGGAGAAGAAAAATGTGTAGGTGATCAGATAAGTGAGGGAGGGAATGGATGGCAAGGTGGTGAGCAGGGCCAGGATGGGAGGAGGAGACAGAGGAGAAGACAGGAGGATGGTGTTAGGTCAGGGACTCTTATCTGTCATGAATATGGATGAAGAGTGACTCTGCTGAGATACTGCTAGTCTCCCTGTGTTCTGTCAGCTCACTCTTTGGCATAAGCCCTCCTGCTTCTCTCAATTCAATTCAATTAAATTTCAATTTAAGGGCTTTATTGGCATGGGAAGCATATGTTAACATTGCCGAAGCAAGTGAAGTAGATAGTAAACAAAAGTGAAATAAACAATAAAAATTAACAGTAAACATTACACTAAGAAGTTTCAAAAGAATAAAGACATTTCAAATGTCATATTATGTATATATACATTGTTGTAACTCTCTCTCTCTGTCGCTCTCTCTCTGTCGCTCTCTCTCTTTCTCATCTCTCTCTCTCTCTCTCTCTCTCTCTCTCGCTCCCTCTCTCTGTCTTTCTCCTCTGTCTTTCTCTCTTGTCTTTTCAATTTATTTCACTTATTCTTTATCACTATCTCTAGCTTTCACTCTTTTTCTCTCACTATCTTTTACTTATTCTTTCTCACTTTGTATCTCTCTCACACACTCTCTCACCCCCTCTCTTTCACCCTTGTCTTTGTCTCTGGCACTGTGTCTGTGTTGCTTAGATGATAATTGGGTGTCTTAATCACTTAACCACTGCGTCTCACTTAACCACTGCGTCTCCCGAGTCTCACTGCGTCTCCCGAGTGGCGCAGTGGTCTAAGGCAGTGGTCTAAGGCGCAGTGGTCTAAGGCAGTGCAGGCTGTGCCACTAGAGATCCTGGTTCGAATCCAGGCTCTGTTGTAGCTGGCCGTGACCGGGAGACCCATGGGGCGGCGCGCAATTAGCCCAGCGTCGTCCAGGGTAGGGGAGGGAATGGCCGGCAGGGATGTAGCTCAGTTGATAGAGCATGGTGTTTGCAACGCCAGGGTTGTGGGTTCGATTCCCACAGGGGGTATGAAAAAAATAATAATGTAAGTCGCTCTGGATAAGAGCGTCTGCTAAATGACGTAAATGTTAATAGTGAGAGTGCTCAGCCAAAGACACTGTCTTATGCTGATCAAAGTGTCTTATTTTCCAATTAGCTTGGGAGGGATACAGAGAGCGAAAGTGAGAGAGAGATACAGAGGGTGAGGTGGGGTGAAGGGAGAGAAAGAGGGATAAATAGGGAAAGAGAGGTACAGAGCAGAGAGAACAGCCATTGATTCTGATTAGAGGAATATGTGAAATGGAGGCTGAGCTAGTCAAGGCCGTTAGCAGCAGCAAAGCTGTGAAAGCAGAAGTCTGTATTCCACAGGAGGTTGGTGGCACCTTAATTGGGGAGGACGGGCTCGTGGTAATGGCTGGATTGGAATAGGTGGAATGGTATCAAATACACCAAACACATGGTTTCCAGGTGTTTCATGCCATTCCATTTGCTCCGTTCCGGCCATTATTATGAGCTGTTCTCCCCTCAGCAGCATCCTGTGCTGTATTCACACATCATTAATGTCTATGATTAACCTTCCTCTGTCACTACAATCCAGACCATCTTTAGCACATCAATTACCACTGGAGATTAAACATAATAGGTCTGTAAAAAAAATTAAGTATTCCATAAAGGGTAACACTAAAACCTTCCTCAACAGCGTTCTTACTTTACCATGTAAAAATAATAAATACATTAAATTAAAATAATTATAAAAGGTTACAGTCAGAGTTTTGCAAGGATAGAGAAAGAAACAAACTGTTAATAACAACCATCATTATCCATACAGTTTCTAACCAGGCGCTAATTTGGCTTCAGCCCTTATAGTTTGTGAAATTGCTAACCCTGCCTCCTTCCCTAGATCCCTATTACCTGAGGGTGGGCATATGCAGGCAGCATCAATTATGATCTCTAATGAGTTGACCTTGGGTGCCTGGGCTGAAATAACGCTGCTGTATTGACTTAAATGTCAGCATCATTACTGGCCTGTACAAGACTGATACACACGCCGATACAGCCTGTCTCCTGGCTGCTAGGACATCCACAGGGATAGAGGGGGCAAGAAGGGAGAGAGGAAGGGCATGGCAATGGGGGCAGACACCCGAGACAATCTCCCTTAGCGTAGATGGCAGGTGGCCATTACACTAGACCCAGGTCAGTTCCTTGGTCAATTTCCTGTTGCTGGGACCAGGAGTTCTCTGTATCTCTAAATGGAGTTTCTGTAAAATAGAAAAGTTGTTTGTGTGGAAGGAGAAAAGCTCACAGAGACGTCGAGAATTGATTGTCGGTAAGGGGTTCTGTTTTGCTGGCTATGCAGTACAAATGTTTAATGAATGCATATTGTCTAGCTGTACAATGTGTTTTGTCAATACATCAATATGTGCCACAATAGCATAACAATGTATCAGAATTTAATTGAATCGTGGCTTGGATGGGCGTCCTAGTTTTCAATGTTTAACCCATAGACTAATATCAAGAGAGGGGAGAGGGAGAATGTTTTAGGTCAACAAACATACAGTTGATTAACCCTTCTCATCCACTCCCACCCTTACCTCTCCTCTTTCCCCCCCTCAAACCCTTGTACCCACAATATCTGTCCTCCCCTCCCTTTCTCTCTATGCGAGGTGAGTCGTAAATATCCTCCATCTTGCCTTGCCTTTGTTTCCATGACGATGCTCTGCAGCACCTCAGTAGGGACTATCCCCTGGGGTATGAGAGAGAGAGAGAGAGAGAGAGAGAGAGAGAGAGAGAGCGAGAGAGAGAGAGAGAGAGAGAGGAGAGGAGAGAGAGAGAGAGAGAAAGAGAGCGAGAGAGAGGAGAGAGAGGAGAGAGAGAGAGAGAGAGAGAGAGAGAGAGAACGTGGGGATGAATAGAAGAAGGAACAGTGGAAATAGAAAGAGACTGAAATAGGGACTAAAGTTGAAGGTGAAGGAGTTTAGCCAAACAAAATAGGATATTTGTCATGTGGTTCCTGTAGCACTGTGATGTATGGGCAGTTGAGGATGGCCATTCATTCCCTTAGTGTAGGCACGGCTGAGAATATATCCAAGGCCACAGCCTGAACAGAGCATAGAAACAGCAAGCCATTCACTGACTACAATTGTTCCACTCTGAAAAAATAAATGTCATGTACCCACACACGTACATTTACATTTTAGTCATTTAGCAGACGCTCTTATCCAGAGCGACTTACAGTTAGTGAATACATTTTTTATTTTATACTGGCCCCCCGTGGGAATCGAACCCACAACCCTGGCGTTGCAAACGCCATGCTCTATCAACTGAGCTACATCCCTGCCGGCCATTCCCTCCCCTACCCTGGACAACGCTGGGCCAATTGTGCGCCGCCCATGCGACAGAGCCTGGATTCGAACCAGGATCTCTAGTGGCACAGTTAGCACTGCGATGCAGTGCCTTAGACCACTGCGCCACTCAGTGCCTTGCGAAAGTATTCATCCCCCTTCATCCTATTTTGAATAGATTTTTATTTGGATTTCATGTAATGGACAAAATAGTCCAAATTGGTGAAGTGAAATGAAAAAATAACTTGTTACAAAAAATAAATTGTTCCCCACAGTGAAGCATGGTGGTGGCAGCATCATGTTTTTCATCGGCAGGGACTGGGAACTGGTCAGAATTGAAGGAATGATGGATGGCGCTAAATACAGGGAAATTCTTGAGGGAAACTTGTTTCAGTCTTCCAGAGATTTGAGACAGGGACGGAGGTTCACCTTCCAGCAGGACAATGACCCTAAGCATACTGCTAAAGCAACACTCGAATGGTTTAAGGGGAAACATTTAAATGTCTTGGAATGGCCTAGTCAAAGCCCAGACCTCAATCCAATTGATAATATGTGGTATGACTTAAAGATTGCTGCACACCAGCAGAACCCATCCAACTTGAAGGAACTGGAGTAGTTTTGCCTTGAAGAATGGGCAAAAATCCCAGTGGCTAGATGTGCGAAGCGTATAGAGACATACCCCAAGAGACTTGCAGCTGTAATTGCTGCAAAAGGTGGCTCTACAAAGTATTGACTTTGGGGGGGGGGTAAATAGTTATGCACGCTCAAGTTTTCCATTTTTTGTCTTATTTCTTGTTTGCTTCACAATAAAAAATAGTTTGCATCTTCAAAGTGGTAGGCATGTTGTGTAAATGAAATGATACAAACCGCCCCCAAAAATCAATTTTAATTCCAGGTTTTAAGGCAACAAAATAGGAAAAATGCCAAGGGGGGGTGAATATTTTCGCAAGCCACTGTATACTTCCCCACGCACAGACCCAATCACATATTGACACTCACACATCCACCCACCACTTTCTCCCCATAATCTTCACATTAATAGCTGTCCCTATCCAGTTAGCTGGGTGGCTCTGACACAGTTAAGACAGACCCAAGGCGTCACTCTTTGAGCCAAGTGTTAAACCTGGAACGCTCCACAGCTCCACTCTGTCCTCAGTCCATTACAGATCAACTCACTGACCACTCTGCTCTTTCACTCCAACACTGTTTACTTCCCTTTCCATTAGCATCACAATAGCCAGGCCCTCTTAGTCATTCAGACAGCATGGTCCACTCAGTATTCAGAAGACTGGGCCTTTTAAGCCTGTGTTGAATCCTTAGTGATCAATCCAGAGGCCTTTAAAAGGAGCAACGGGCCAACGGATTCATTGTTCCGTTTCTGAGTATTGAGCAGAGCCTTGTTGTCATTCGGCTGCTCAGGCTCAGGCAGGGGGAAGGAACTAGGTGGCGTGAGCACAATGCATAACTCAGACCTGGTGGGTGTGTGTTGGGTGGGTGGGGTGGGTGGGGGGTATAGTGTGTGTGTGTGTGTGTGTGTGTGTGTGTGTGTGTGTAATATCCCAAAATCATTTTCGGC